TTGGGAGGAGACTTTCACCAAGTGCTGTGATTAATTCATCGTATGTATGGGGGGATGCATTGTTCTTAGTTTAACCAAGAATATGAGGCTACAAGATGTCAATAGCCCCACAAAATCTTATGACTTGAAGTTGTTTGCTAATTAGATTGCAAGCATAGGTAATGGTATTGTTGGCGACTTAAATGACGGTTGTGTCTTTGTAAAAAAATCTTGATGACATCCTAATCAAGTACTATGGATATCGAATTGCTAAGATAATGGAGATCATCTAAAATCAAGTAATGATTTGAGTTACTTGAGAGATCTAGACAGAGCTATTCTTTCTCGAATTCTTGATGTCGTTGATTCTGTCAACGACTATATGACAACTTTGAATTCCGAGGAAGTAGCTAGAACCTACCTTTGTTCAGACAGTATTTGCCAATCCGATTTCACCCATGATTAAGCTCTCTGGACTGCCAAATCAAAGGTTAACTTTGAAAGTTGGCACCCCTATCATGCTTCTGCTTCTGCGTAATATTGATCACACTCGGTTTGTGTGACGGGACAAGACTCATCGTAACAAAGATGTGTGATCACATCTTAGAGGGTAGAGTTCTGAATTATATGAGTGTAGGACATAAAGTTTTAATACCGGGACTATCTTTGACAAAGTATGGTGTTTGTTTGCCATTTAGATTCCAAAGGAGACAATTCCCTGCTATGATTTCTTATGCAATGACCATCAATAAAAGTCAAGGTCACTCACTCACGTTGATCTCCCACTGAAAAGACAAGTTTTGAGCCATGGAACGATGATTGTCCAAAGGATGAAACGATAAGTGTTGTCTACGAAGTAGTGTTCCATAATACTTCGTATGTAATGTTTCACATCGCATGATAATCACATTACATATTACAACAAATTAAACTTACATATTATCCTTTTAGTTCTTAATGAAACAATGTATCATATTTAACTTTATAACTAGATAAATTTATATGTCAACGATGTTTATACCCCATCTAAGATTTCACACACCGTGCATCGCACGGGTACATACTTGTATTACTAAAAGTAGGATAAAAGATAAAAAAGTGATCTGTTTTTAAAAATTCCAAAAATGTGACCCACATCACAATTAACCATGCAGTGTAAAGTGACTCCGGGCAAAGTGACTCCGGGCAAAGTGACTCCGGCCAAAGTCACCCCACCGACTACATTGAATGCCCGGCCGCCGGAGTGACTTCCCCGCCGCCACAGTGGCTCCGCCACCCGCCGCCACAAGGACTCCGCCACCCGCCGCCACAGTGATTTTGCCGTCCGCCGCCACAGTGACTCCGGACACAGTGACTCTGGTCACAGTGACTCCGGTCGTAGTGACTCAGGCCGCAGTGACTCCGGCAATATTGACCACCCGGCTACCGCCATAGTGACACCGGCAAATTACCTCCGCCTGCCATCGGCTCCGGCAGCCACCAACTCCGGCCAACGACTGCAACCATCACACCCAAGCCACTGCCTCACCTAGCCCCCTCCCCTGCATCACCCCAGCCCCTCCCCTGTCACCCCAACCCCTGCCCTCACCCAGCCCACTCCCCTGCCCCACCCAGCCCCCTGCCACACTTAGCCGCCTTTCCACAACCCCCAGCCCCAGCGGACAGCCTCATAGACACTTCTCTAGCAGGCCAGCCCACCCCTATAGCCGCCCACCGCCCAGATCTGAAATTACAAAGCGTCGGCCAAGCAGAGGCGGCGAAGCAGCGAAGGAAGAGGCGGTCCGGCTGTTCAGGCCCCTCTCTGACACTTTTTGTATTAGTGTTTTTTTCCTTTTTCCTTCTGGGTAATATGGTATTTGTTGATGAAAAACAACGTAAGAATATAATATACATATAAGTTTTGAAGTAATTCCTATTATATAAATAAAATTGATTAAGTATGATGGACAAAAAATGATTTTATAACTTGTTATGTGGCTACTCTTCCAGCTCAGGTCTCAATTTCATCCACAAAGGATGTCTATTCCACCACTAGGTCAACAAAGGAAGAGGTAGGTGTACCTGTAATTACGGAGAAAAATCTGTAGCAGATCTTGATATTCAACTCCGTTGGTTTGAGGAAAAGATTTGTTGTTTGAAAATGTAGATGGACAGTCTTAGCGTATCTATTACAGTAAATGTTGTTTGACTGTCTGCAATAAGAATACAGTTAAGGGGTTACATACTAGTAATATTATTTTAGATAATACATGTGTTTTCTTGACATACAAAGTATTAATTTTGTTGTTATTACTATTTTTTTTATTCCATATTTAAAAGGGGGATTTACCTAAATGGGAGTAATTAAATTCTAAATTGCCAAAATAGGACTAAAGTTAAAAAATCCCCTAAATAGGAGTTATTATTTAAATCTGGACAATAATACCCTCAAAGACAAAATACTCTCAGCGATACATAGCCTGACCAGCCGCCTCCGACCGCCGCCGGCCACCTCCGATCGCCGCCGCCGCCGCCGCCGCTTCCCCAAATCTAGCAGCCGCTGCAGATCTGATAGTCGTTGCCATAGATTTGGCCGCCGTCTCCATAGATCGGGCCAGATCTGGCCTTTGCAGACTGCCGTACGCCTCCCCTGCGGGTCCAGCAGCAGCAGCCGCCGCCGCCGCCGCAGATCCGGCCACTGCTATTGCAGATCTGACGGACGCCATTGTTGATGCCAATTTTTTGACAAAAATGCCAACATGAAATAAAAATGCCATTTTAATGGAATTTTCAAATAAAAATATGAAAATTTTAAAGAATAAGAATGCCATTTTAATGGCATTTTCAAAACAAATGGCAATTGTAACAACCAAATAGCATTTATTCGAACCATTGTTATCCTCCCAGAAGCCAAGTAAACCACGGCAGATATCAACCATCATTGACCAACACAAAGCAATTAAAAACCCAAATGAGGAAGAAGAAGAAGCAAAGAGAAAATACAGATGCAGATCGAAGGTAAAGAAGAGAAAAGAAACGGAGGAAGAGGTAGATCTAACGCACGCTGCCGCTCCTCGCCGTCGCACGCCGTCGAACGCCGTCGCCTCTCGCCGGGGCTTGCTGCCGTTCCTCGCCACCACCACTCGCCGTTGAAGCTAGCCCTCTGTTGCGCACAAAGTTGCGGCTTGGTTAGGAGCGTGCGAATAAGATCAGAGGAGTACAATCTTACGGAGGTTATGAGCTGCAAATGGGTTGAAATAGGGGTAAAATTGGAAGAATGATCCTATTTTGGGAATAAAATTATATTACTCCTATTTAGGAATTTTAGTAATAATTTAGTCCTATTTGGGGCTATTTTCCCTATTTAAAACTACTCAAATTCGTACATTTCACTCAGACATACCGTTTTACTCTTATTTGGGGTAAATTTTTAAATGTGTTACTCAATATGTTTTATTCTCCTACTTTTGAAATACTAAAATGAGAAGAGTTACTTATTTATTCTCCTACATAATACATACTATATCTTATTTGATTGAAAATAAAGCACGCAAGTGGTAATTTAACATCCTATTACAATCATTACTACGAGTACATGATACGAAGTTTTATTGAGACTTTTGTTGTTAAAGTACTTTACGGGAATTTACAATTTTAGTTTTGTGATATTAGGGTGCGCCCACTATTAGTCTTCTACCTTTATTTATTTGCAGATTTGGTATTGTAACTAATAAATCATCACAATTTAAGGGTCTTTTCACCGGTAAAAACATTTTCCAACATGTGCAGTTTAATAAATCTCTCCAGTAAATATTGGTTGCAATTTTAATTTTAAATGACCATGGGATGTAAAATCACTTCTCTTGAAAATTTCTCGGATTTAATGCTATCCATCACACAAAAAATTAAGTTATAGAGATTACTATCATTTACTTAGGAAATTTTAAAGTGGGGTGTTATTTTCAGCCGAGCAACAATATAATTAACAATGGCAATTTTTCTCCTCTAACATTGGCAATTTTTCTCCTCTCACAAATAAAGTAATTAACATGTATTAATATAATTTTGTTTTCATTGCACAATGTTCAATCTGACAATTAATTAGTTCTACACATATATATTTATTCCACGTACAAGTTCAAAATTGCGAATTTTTGAGACAACGAGAGTAGAATTAAACGCATTTTTGACATACACGAATAAGAGCATCTCCAATGGTATAATGTGCACGGTGCACACGTGGCATGAGAAATAGTCACATAAATATTGGTAAATAAATTCTTTCTCTCCTTATTTTAATGATTTTATACATATTTAGTAAGTTTTTCTCCACAATGTCAATGAGACCGTCTAAATGTTGACATTGCAGTTGACATTGCAGGAAAAAACTTACCAAAATTGTATAAAATCATTCAAATAAGGAGAGAGATAATTTATTTGCTAATATTTATGTGGCTATCACTCATGCCACATGTGCACCGTGCACATTTTGGCATTGAAAATGCTCTAAGTTGTATGTGTAGACGGTTGAAGTGTACCTTAACTTCTGACAAATTTTTTACATAATTGAAGTCGTAAGCTCAAATTACTTCTAATGCTCTATGTTCATGTAATACAGTAGTACCGTCTAGTAGATGTATTATGTGTTTGGTAGTCATTTTTATATTTATTATATACTTATTGTACATTAAATCTTTGGTACTATGCATCAATTTGTAATTATGAAAAAGATAAAATTCTACACGATTTTTTCTCCCGCAGTTATTCAAGATAACTGTTTTACCCCCCCCCCCCCCCCCCCCCCCCTTGTAACACACTTGGTATACTTTTTATCCATTTTGAAAATGACACCTTTATATTCAAAATGAAAAAATCCAAATTCAACCATAATAATATAACCATATCATAATACTAGACAAACAAAATCCTAATAGAACATCTGTTTATGCGTGTAGCGTCTTGGACCCTAAAAAAGTGAACCGCATACCCCATATATTACGTATACACATGCCCGACCTTCACCCCCTCAATAACTTTCAATCCTACCTTGGAGCTTCTATATACTGTCTTCCATGATTGGGGACCGAATTAAGAAGCTCTGATCTTTTAAAGATATAGTTAATTACTACATAGGAGTGTTTAAGAATGGAGAATTACGAAACCTTGAGAGTGCTTCTTGTTGATGATGATTCTACCTGTCTGCTCATTGTTGGTGCTATGCTCCGGAGATTGAAGTTCAAGGTAGTTTCATTCATATAAATTGAATCACACTTAGATGAGATTCATTCCAATTTTATGCTCAAACTCTCAAGCCCTAGGTTACAAAGAAAAATGAAGTTTTTTTTTAAAGAATGAAAAACAAAGTTAAATCTTTCACCATGAATCAAAAGGGGAGAAAATCAAGTGTTTCTAAATTTGTCTCTTTTAATTTCTTGTCGGTTAAATCTTTACTATATATGGTTAATTGAATGTTTTTATTTTTGCAAAATTTTAAATAATGTAAAAACACCGGATGTTTGAAGTGTATTTCTTATTTACCATCTGATTTGATCTTCTATTCCCACATTATAAATTACATATACACAGTGCCGAGTGTTTGGGAAATGGCGTTGCACCAAAACAATAACAGTCTAACCCTTTGTATCATTTTCAATAAGTGAAAATGTTTTTGATAAAATGATTGTTAAGTCCCATCATTTTTTGGATGGAACTGCTGAAATAGGGACTACGTACGAATCGCTACGGCCAAACACTAAATTATTAAACATCGTTTTGATCATGACAACTTATTTCGCTAGTCAAACCCGCTGACTCAATCCACTATTAACACCCTGATACATAATCCGCTAGTGGAAGCGGTCCAGACCAGCTGGTCGCCGACTCACTCTCCCTTATGGGAGGTTCCGAGTTCAATATTCAATGGAATGAGATTGATCCCTGTTTACACAGGCCCCCCTCCCCCGACGCCCCCAGGGGTAAAAAAACATAATCCGCAATCCGCTAAATGTCAACCACACCCTTTAAAAATTTAGTTTTACTTGTTTCAATTAATTTTTAACACGTTTTTTTAATTACTTCCCACTCGTTTTTCTGTTTTAATAATAATTGTATGAAAAAACAACCAGATTTTTAAAATTCCTATCTTTTTCTTGATTTTTCCGTGTTGATGTCCTACTTTTCATATAGTATTCAATAAACCTATAATTGATTTTGCTGTGTGAAAAGCCTAATGCAGCAAGTTAAAATAAACAGAGTGAAAGTTTTTGAAGAACATTCATTGGAGATCAGATTGCTTTAGGACTTGACCCTTTATAATTTGTTAGTTCTTCCCAGTAATGTTTCATTGTGTGGTAGCAATTTTTATTGTTTAGGCCTTCAAAATTGTTATCTCTTTTATCCTTTATTAATTGGAATACCTAAATGGCTAAATCCAACATACAATTACTAATCCATCTTTCTCCAAATAAATCTATCAACTAAATGAAGTGGATCCTGATGACTTAGCTTATACATAGATAATGTATTAAGCCCATGGATAATGTATACATTAATGAGAAATTCACAATACGTAGTGGTTATTATTAAAATTTAAAATTCCATCTTAAGGTGGGGATCAATTTGACAGAAGTTACACAACTTAATATGCTCTTACAAATATTGTTGCTTCTTGGATAAGATCAATTCTATAGTTCATGTGCTCATCATTGAGGCATAACTATATCAAGATGTTATTGCTAACTCACTCTAAGATATGATGGTCCATCTTTGAAAGGTGAGATGAGCAATCAAAAACATTTATATGTTAATTTGTACCTTTACAGCTTTATACGTGATTGAGATGAGATAGCTTAGTACTTGCCACCGACCCATAAAAGATGAATTTGTAACTCCTTTTATGATTTCATTAGAACTAAATATGTTTAATGCGAGTGTAATATGCGCATGGTGTTCTCAATAGACTTGTGAATCGTCCAATTTATTCCCAATGATTATACACAGACGACTCTTTTCATAATGTAATGACTAAAGGGTCAAATAGGCCCTCGAACTAACAAGTGCAAATTAAATCACCCCTTATATAGGAGGCTCTGTAAGGCCGTCGTCATTTGGGGCGGTTCCAAGTGTAATTTTTTGATGAATTTTTTAAAGCATATTCTTCATTAAGTCTGTTTACTCATACCAAATGTTAGCTAAAACGTCAATCGAGAAGGCAGCCAAAAGAATTTTTGAAGATAACTGTGCAGTTAAACAACGCAGTACATTTCAGAAAATCATTTGACTGCCATCCCGGTTGAATTGTTATCTGAAATTTGGTATGGGTAGACTAGACTTAATGAAGAAGATGCTAAAAAAAATTCATCACAACATTCCACCGGGAACCGCCCCAAATGGTGACGGCCGGACAGAGCCTCTTATATAAGGGGTGATTTAATTTGCCCTTGTTAGTTCGAGGGCCTATTTGACCCTTTAGCCTAATGAAATTACATTTGCAATCATATCATATTTCAGACATTTTTATAATTGAGTTTTAAGTAATGAATTATGGTATTTTGTGATGCAGTTGTGACAGCAAAACGTATAGGACGATTTGGGTACCCTACGACCAAAGGGAAGCTTTGCATTTGATCTCATTATTTCAGATGTCCACATGCCTGATGTCAATGGCTTTGAACTGCAGCACATGATTGTCATAGCTTGTGAGATCATTATTCATTCATACACAAACATAACTAATACACAATTGAATTATATTAAAACAAGGTTAAAAATGGCAGTATGACGAATTGAATTTTAATATTAAAAAGTAATCAAAACAAGACTTATTAAAAAAAACAAGACTTATTGATTTTTTAGTAGATGATTCATAATTCTAAGAATAATTTATAATGTTTATTGGAGTACACACATCAATACAATCTCGTTTCCATCTTACTTGTCAAACTTTCTCTCGATTGTTTTATAAAATTTGTTTTACTTCTTTTTATTTGGAATGATATGATCCGATCCTATTCGGTAAAGTCTATCTATGCATCAAATAAAACTCCACCTACCCGGCCAACGTTAAACTATACTTCCCGAAAACAACTTCTCACTTTCCTTAAATGGATGTCCCAAAATTAACTTCACACTTCAATACTTTCCTTATTTGGCAAATTATCTACATCAAAAAAGTGATAAACAGTGCCAAACAGTGCCAAACAATGTTTAAACAGTGCCAAACAGTGTTTAAACAGTGCCAAACAGTGTTTAAACAGTGCAAAATTATGCATTCTACAGTAAAGTCAAATTTATTTCTTAAAAGTGTGTGAAATTCCAACCGGGAAGTTGTTTTCGGGACGGAGGGAGTATATAATAACACATTGCATGGAAAATATATTTCACACATTTACAAACACATTGGTGTGTCATGTGCAGTCATTTTTTTTCGACAACTCATGTCCAGTCATTTAATACCGTTACTTTAGTTTTAATAGAGTTAATTCAGAAAGTATGAATAAACAATGTAAGTGTAAGAATATGAGATACAACTTTCGTAGGAATATAAAATGGGATAAGTTTTGGTCAAAAAAAAATAAAATGGGATAAGTTGGCTAGCTAGATTTCTTTATTGTACAATTCCCACCTCCTTGGAGACCCCACCACGCCCCTAACAGATCTTCAACTAATGATCAATGCCAAAAACTTATCGGACCTACAGTTGCTATCAGAGTAGGCGAACAATTTAATTTCATGTCAGTCAACAAACACTAACTCCCTCCATCCCGCTATGATTTTCCATTTTATCTTTTCGGTCCGTCCCACTAAGATTGTCTCATACCTTATTTGGTAAAGTTTGTGTGGTTCTAAATCATTCCTACTTTATTCTTACATTATCAATTCAACATCAACCACATAAATCCACTTTTATTAATAACCGTGCCACCTTCTCTTGTCCCAAACTTAGGGGACGGAGGTAGTAGCTATCAACAGTAGTCATTGGACACTCGTTTGAACTTCGGCTCTGCCGAAAGGCCACCATAAAACCCTAAGTGAGATTGGTAAATCAAGAGGTGAATCCTGATGCTAAATAAGAGGATATAGCTAAAACAATGAACGAATGAAATTTATTAAAATAAAGAAAAACGAGTACTTCAGAAAAAGAAAATTAAAGGTAACAAGTAAAAACAAAAGGAACAAAATAAAGAAACACCCAACCCAAAGCCTAACAACAAATACCTTAAATTTCTAGATAATCCAGAGCACTTGGTCAAACTTCAAAACTTTGTTTGTGCTTGAGATCTAGTCTTTCAATTCATAAGATGCTCCTTTTTTGACACTTTTAAAGTGCTTTATACGTATATAGGGCATCTGGATTTTTTAACATGGTGAGAAATATTAATCCATATATAGAACTATAAAACATCACTTTTCTTGAAATATGAGCATCAACTTTTCTTTGAAGGGTCAGGCCGGCCCATTCAATAAATATTGAAGAATTGTTACCAACTTTTATCATTCTCGATTCAATAAGTCGCATTATTTTAGCACAAACAGCAACAACACTCTTCTTGTAGTCTATCATTTACTGTTATTAGTTAAACTAAATTCATTTTCTTAGTATCCTTGTCACAAGACCCCCCCTCCCCCCCTCATGCATACTGAACCCTTATACTGTTATACATACATGTTTATGCAAATCACTCCTTATATTGGAGGTTCCGTCCAAACGTCTCCATTTGGGGCGGTTCCCAGTGTAATCTTTCGATGAATTTTTTTGATCATTTTCTTCATTACGTCTAGTTTAAGATTATCAAATTTCAGCTAAAAATTCAACCGGGAAGACAGTCAAATGAACTTTTGAAGATAACTGCGTAGTACATTTCAGAAAAACATTTGACTGTCTTCCCGGTTGAATTTTTATCTGAAATTTGGTATGAGTAAACTAGACTTAATGAAGAAGATTCTCAAAAACGTTCATAAAAAATATTCCACCGGGAACCGCCCCAAATTGAGACGGCCGGACAGAACCTCCTATATAAGGGGTGATTTGCACTTTTTAAGTTAGTTCGAGGGCCTATTTGACCTTTAGCATATATAATTCTTATACGTAGTACATTATGTAAGTATTTTTAATAAAGAACATGTTCATTAATTATGATATTCAAATAATTTTTTATTTGAAAAATATTAGTGGTTAAACTTGATAAATATTGCCAAAAATAAGCTAATAGGAAAAAGTTTTATCAATGGAGGTGGTATAATCTTAGCAAGTCTACATCAATTATGTATTTTTTATGTTTAACTAATGTATCCAAAAAAATCGTATGCGTTTGTGCCAGGATTAACCAGGGAGAATGTTGCAAGTCATATGCAGGTTCATTTTCAATTACTGATACATCATTATCCCTTATCATGATTATGATTAAAATTTACAACGTATAAAATAAAGGATCAAGTTGTATATGGAGTTGAGAGAGGGTTGACAAGGGTTGCACTATAACTAAGGTTAATAAAACTATTACAAAATTACAATTATAAACAAAAGAAGGTGTAATGGGTAATTTTAAGTCTCAACCCTTCTCTAGTTTGTGGGTTTAAATGGTTAAGTTATCTGATAATTAAGTCCGGGCTCCTTGGTCTAACTAGTTCATGTGTTTTCTTAGGTTCATGTGTTAAGTATAATTTGTGTAGCATATGCAAAATGTTGTAATAGGTGTCAAAAATGTCACAGTAAATTAAATGTAGCATTTTTTAGTATATTGCATCCGACTGGTGTTACAATAGATGTATTGTAGATATATAGTTATCATTTTATTGTAGAATGTTTTGTACAATAATGTTACAATAGATATTATATTGTAGTAGTTTCTACGGTGCTACAAAATGAATGCTATAATAGACACTTTTTGTATTAGTGTGTATTTTTTCCTTCTGGGTAATATGGTATTTGTTGATGAAAAACTACGTAAGATATAATATAATATACATATAAGTTTTGAAGTAATTTCTATTATATAAATAAAATTGATTAAGTATGATGGACGAAAAATGATTTTATAACTCTTAAGTAACAATGACCATTTTTAGTTTACATAGATCAATGACCATATATAAAAATATAATTATAGTAACTTTGATAACATCTTTTTTCATGAGTTTTATTTTAATAATATTATTGGAAAACCGTGGTAGTTTTTTATTCTTACGATTGCGTGTCCATCACTCATCATGATATTTTATATGATGAGACAAAAACACAGACATGATCTCCGCCACCCAAGGCTATTCTCAAATATGGGGCTGGCAATATCACTCGCACCCGCGGATATCCGGTCAACCCGAACCGAAAATATGGATGAAAACCCGAAAAAGTATGGAAGGAAAATGGATGACGGGTGGATTGAAACCCGACCCGTCACCCGCTCCACCCACCCACCCGCTAACCCGCATATAAAAATAAATACATATTATATTATATTATATTATATTATATTATATTATATTATATTATATTATATTATATTATATTATATTATATTATATTATATTATATTATATTATATTATATTATATTATATTATATTATATTATATTATATTATATTATATTATGTTATATTATATTATATTATATTATATTATATTATATTATATTATATTATATTATATTATATTATATTATATTATATTATATTATATTATATTATATTATATTATATTATATTATATTATATTATATATACTCCCTCTGTCCCGCTATTAACTTCCTGCTTTCCTTTTTGGGCCGTCACAAAATCATCTTCTCATTTCCCTAAATGGAAAGTTATCCTACATCAAAACAGTGTCAAACAATGCAAAACAGTGCCAAACAGTGTCTTAACAGAGCCAAACAGTGTCTAAACTGTAAAGTCAAATTTATTTCCTAAATATGTGTGTAGGTCAAAGTAGGAAGTTAATAGCGGGACGGAGGGAGTATATTAATAATATATATAATAGTTAATATTAATATATTACAAAGTAACAAATATATACCCCCTTCGTCCCTTTTTATTTAGTCAAACATTATTTTTCAAGTCAAAGTTGTTCAACTTTGACTGATTATATATTTATACACGGTACAATTGACAATATGAAAATTAAATGAAAATGTTCTTTGTTAAAAACACTATCATAAAAGTATAAATTTATTAACGTTTACATAAATACATCAGTTAAAATAATGGATCAAACTTTATCATCTTTGACTGGAAATGTCAAAGTTGGCTAAATAAAAATGGGCGGAGGTAGTATTTGTTAATTAGAGAACACGTATCTATGAATTAGTGAAATAAGAACAATTGAATAGTTTCAACACGTGGTAGTTGAACTGCAAAAGTAGTTTTGTTCCGATGCAGAAATGTAGAATTTGACAGTTTGAAAAAGTTTTATGTCTATTTTTTATGACAATCACTTCTTTCTTTATTGGCAGTGAATTAATGATTGTAATATACTTAATTGCTCAAGCTTTTCTTGTTATTATTCAATGAATTTTTAATTTTTGGTTTTTAAATATTATAATTTCGTATTTGCAAAAAAGTTATTATAATTTCTATTTATAATTTATTTATTTTGTCTTTCAAGTTAGACCATTTATATTCACCCGTTACTCACCCGATCCACCCGATAACCCGCTCATGATGGATGAATTGGATGTGGATGTATTTTTTAATGGATGATGGACGGGTGGGTGGAATATGAAAAATTAACGGGTGAACGTGGATGAGCCTCCACCCGGTATAAATTCGACCCGCTGCCATCCCTATTCTCAAATATGCATATTATTGATTAATGATTTCTAATGATTAAAATTACCTTCAACGTAACACATAGGTTCATCATTTTCCATAGTCCATATTATAAAAATAGATCGATATCCTTTAGGTCAACGTTTTTCAATTCCTTTGTAAGACTGTCACACGGTCATACGCACTTTCAAGGTTTGGTAATTCTCCATTCCTAAGTTTATTACTCACGTGTGTCAGCATATTGTTTTTACATAAGTGCCCTTGAACAGTTATTATCATGGTTCTAAAATTCGCTCTAAGCGCCCGATTATTCCCCGCCTAGGCGTTAGGCGGTAGTCGGGCTCCCCGATTTTAGTCCAGGCACTCCGACTAATTGATTTGGCGCCTAGGTAAATTAGTCGGTCGCCTAAGGCGCCTAGACATCTAGATTCATCGAACATTTTATTTTGCCTGGACAAGAGTGCTTAATCGGCCGCCTAATCGGGCATTTTATTTTGCCTGGCCTAGAGTGCTTAATCGGCCGCCTAGAAATCTAGATTCATCGAACATTTTATTTTGCTTTTTATTTTAGTATTCTAAGAGATATATGTATCTTTAACTGTAACAACGCATATGAAGAAAACTAGTAGTTGTAGATTAATATAAATGTTATACATGTTTTTATATATATTCTTAAGTGTTATTATTATTTATTAATAATTATTACGTAGTATTTCTTGCAGTTAAGAAGTAAGTATGTATAATATGTTATTTAGTGTGAAAACTCTTATCATTCATGCATGTTAGTGTGTGGATGTACGTGTTTATATTTTATGTACACATAAACACAACATTACTAATCATATTTATGCAAAATTTTATTAAAACTATAATTTCTATGTCTTCGATTAATCCCCGCCTAGGCGCCTAGGCGCTAGGCTGGCGCCTGACTAGCGACTAGCGCCTTTTAGAACATTGGATATTATTATATGTATTTTCCTTTTAAATACTCCACTAATTGTCCATAATTAATAGGCTTCCATAATTACCATCCATAATTAGTAGATTTCATTCTTATTTCGCACGAGTTAATTTGAATAGGAGCTAAAAAAGATATATTAGGGAATAGGGATTACAAGTATAGAGAATTGCATGTCACTTTTATAGCCCTCGTTTATGATAATTATTAATGATCATAATAAAAGGTCTTAGTTCACGTTATGTTTTAGATGAACGTTCTCATTTGATATCAATCAAATATCTCTGAGCATGTAATAGCACAGAAAATCCGCAGCAGATCTTGATATTCAACTCCATTGAATGAGTTAAAAGATTTGGTTTACAGAAATGCAGATGGACGGTCTTAGCGTATCAATTACAATAAATGTTGTTTGACTGTCCGCAATAAGGATACAGTTAAAGAGTTACTACATCCGTCCCAAAAAGGAAAGTAGGACAACCAAATAGGATGGAAGGAGTACATAGTAGTAATATATATTTCCAGATAATACATGAATTTTCTTTATGTACACAATACTAATTTTATAGTTATTAGTTTATTACTATAAATATTTTATTCCATATTAAAAACTACTCCGATTTCTACAATTTACTCATACCTTTGTACTCATACTTGAGCACATTTATTCATCTGACTTTAACTACTTTAACCATTTTATCCGTTACCAGTTACGCTTTTAACATTATAGAAAAACTCCTCGACTATCTTATTCAGTTCTACTTGATCAAGAAGAAATGTGCATAATAGCATATAGGGTAAAATGCATAAACTTAATGGTACCTTAATCACTGTTCTATTATTGCATTTTTGTATTTTAACTGTAAATTTCTTAAACAAATAAATCAATAATTATAAACAAAATGGGCTCCCTCGTTCATCTAAAACGTGAACAAGACATTTTATTATGATTATTAATAATTATCATAAACGAGGGCTATAAAAGTGACACACAATTCTCTATACTTATAATTACCAGGTGCTAGAAAAGATATATTAGGGAATAGGAATTATAAGTATAGACTACAGAGAATTGCATGTCACTTTTATAGCCGTCGTTTATGATAATTATTAATGATCATAATAAAAGGTCTTGTTCACGTTTTAGATGAACATTCTGATGTGATATCAACCAAATTTCTCTTTGCGTGTAATAACGTAGAAAAATCCGCCGCAGATCTTGATATTCAACTCCTTTGATTGAATGAAAAGATCTGGTTTACGGAAATGCAGATGGACGGTCTTAGTGTATCAATTACAATAAATGTTGTTTGACTGTCCGCAATAAGGATACAGTTGAAGAGTTACATAATAGTAATATATAATTTCCAGATAATACATGTATTTTCTTTATGTACAGAGTACTAATTTTAGGGTTATTAGTTTATTACTATAATTTTTTATTCCATATTAAAAACTACTCCGATCTCTACAATTCATTCATACCTTTCTACTCGTATTTGAGCACATTTATTCATCTGACTTCAACTACTTTAACCATTTTATTCGTTACCAATTACGCTTTTAGCATTATAGCTTAACGGTACCTTTATTGCATTTTGGTATCTTAACTCTAAATTTCTTAAAGAAATAAATCAATAATTATTAATATTAGTAATTATTTCAACCAACAATACTATATATTCAAATTTCCAATAAAAAAATCCTTGTGTATTGTCGATTGACAATGACTACTTATATTTTCTAATACTACGTATAAGTAACTCTATGCTATGGAAAACAAAACTCAACCATAGTAATATAATAATACTAGACAAGCAAAATCCTAGAACATCCGTTTAAGCATGTAACGTATTGGACCCTAAAAAAAAGTTAACAACAGATCCCATATATTGCGTACACATGCCTACCTTCACTACCTTAGAGCTTCTATATATAGTGACTTCCATGGCTGGGGAATGAATAGTTATTTACTACCGCTGAAGTAAATATATGTGAAATATAGGCCAGGAGTGGTTAATTAAGAATGGAGAATTACGAAACCTTGAAAGTGCTTCTTGTTGATGATGATCCTACCTGTCTGATTATTGTTAGTGCCGTGCTCAAGAAATTGAAGTTTCAAGGTAGTGTTAATTCATTCATTTGAAGCACAATTGGATTAAAATAATTTCAATTTATGCTTAAACTCCGCTCCCCAAAGGCTATGAAGTGGTTCAGGATGCGCCCTAGGTTTCAAAGAAAAACGAAGTTTTTTTGAAGAATGAAAACCGAAGTTAATGCTTTCACTATGCATAAAAAAAAGGAGAAAATCAACGACAAAGTGTTTCTAAACTTGTACTTCAGAAGTGTTTCTAAACTTGTCTCTTAATTTCTTATCCGTTAAATCTTTGCTATATATGGAATTAAGTGAATGTTTTTATTTTTGCAAAAGTTGAAATAAATTAAACACTACGCACGGGATGTTTGAAGTGTATTTTTTATTTGTCGTCTTATCTTCAATTCCCACATTCATAATTACAGGTGTATAAAAGCATTATTAATTACAAATATTACAGACAAAAAAAATTCTTCACAAATATGAGTGTGTAGGTGTGTGTATGAAAATGTGTACCAATAAATTTTTTTGTATATATAAAAACCCCAATGCAACAAGTAAAAATGAGTAATAGTTGTTCGAAGAAGTTTCATTCAATATTGCTCTAGGCCTTTATAATTTGTTAGTTCTTCTTGGTATTAAGTATTTCTCACACTGATAATATATAAAGTAATAAAGTGTTATACTACATATATTAATATCCTCGACTACTTCTCATTCTTTTGAATTTGACCTAGAACCCCAAGCTTTAACATGGTATCACAGTCAACCAATATAAGACCATGGTGGGGCCCTCTGATCTATAAAAATGACAATGATTACGAAAAGATAACAATGATGAACTAGTGAAAAATGAAATCAACCCCCATAACACCGAGAATGATTATATTTGTTAAATGGAAGTAATTTTTGGCCTTTACAATTTGTTACTTCTATACTTTATTAATTGGATTTAATCCAATATACTCACAATTTACTTATCCAACTTTTTGCAAATAAATCAATCAAATAAATGAAGCGGATCGTGACTTAGCTTATACGTAGTACACAGTTGTGGGCTAGTGATATTACCAAGCCCGTGCTTAATGTATACATTAATTTGAAATTTACAATACTTCCTACTATTAAAATTTAAAATTCTATCTAAAAGATCTACATGACAAAAGTCACACAACTTAATATGCTCTTAATTATAAGATTGTAGCTGGTTGGAAAAGACCAATTTATAGTTCATGTGCTCATCACGGACGCTAAATTATATCAAGATGCATGTAAATATGTAATTCGGTAATTGCTAATCACTCTAAGATATGATATGATGGTCCTTCTTTGAAACGTCAATCTAATATGATGAGTAATAAAAACCATTTATATGTTAATTTGTATGTTAATTTGTCAACATAGTTCATGTGCTCATCACGGACGTTATACATGATTGAGATGAGATAGCTTAGTACTTATCACCACTTCATAAAAGATGAATTTGTAAGTCCTTTCGATTTTTTTCATTAAAACGAAATATGTTTAGTGTTGGTGTAATGTGCGGGTGGTGTTTTGAATAGACTTGTGAATCGTCCAATTGATTCCTAGCGATTATGATCAAACGGATGACTTTATTTCATAATCTAATTACATTTGCAATTATATCGTATTTGGGAAATTAATTATAATTTACTTGTATTTATATATTTAGTGATGAATTATGGTATTTTGTAATGCAGTTGTGACAGCAGAAAACCCACATGATGCTTTGGGTGCCCTACGAGCAAGGGGCAACTTTGCATTTGATCTTGTTATTTTAGACGTCCACATGCCTGATATCAATGGTTTTGAATTGCAACTCATGATTGCCCATGAATTTCAGGCTCTTCCCATAGCTTGTGAGAGCATTATATTATTCATTATATTCATACATTAATACATACTATCATCCGTATCGTATTAGTTGCAACATTGCAAATTACACACTATTCATGTACTCTATTTTGACTATATTTTATTTATTAACGTATGTGAATTATTTTTTTGAAAAATATTGTTAAATTTGTCTCATTAAAAAGTTTCATAATCTCATTTTTAATTATTTTTTACTAATACATAATTAAATATAATGACAGTCAAAGTGGTGCATTGGCAAACGTGAAAAAGTGAATGTTGCAACTAAAAAAGAACGGAGGAAGTACATAATAAATATACCCAATTAAATGAAATTAATACATGGTTCATAACCAGGAGTATGACAAATTGAGCTTTAATATTGAAAAGTAATTAAAAACCTTTTGATTTATGAGTAAACGAGTCATAATTCTAAGAAAAATTAATAATGTTTCATTAAACTATGATAAACACACGACAAGTTTATATCTGTACGGAAAAGATCTTGTCCAGACAGAGGGACAAGATCCTCCGTCCGGCCGCCGCCGTTTGGGGCGGTTCCCGGTGGCGGTTTTTGATGAAATTGTTATGGAATGTTCCTCATTAAGTTTAGTTTATCCACAAAAAATTTCAACTAAAAATTCGACCGGGAAGGCAGTCAAATAATTTTTTGAAACATAATTGTGTTTTATATGTTTAATTTGGCGCAGTTATCTTCAAAAAATTATTTGACTGCCTTCCCGATCGAATTTTTAGCTGACATTTTTTTTTGGATAAACTAGACTTGACGAAGAACATTTCATAAAAATTTAATCAAAAAACTCCACCGGGAACCGCCCCAAACGGCGGCGGCCGGACAGAAGATTCTGTCCCTCCAGCTGGACAGGATCATCCCTCTATATCTATATATCTATATTATTGACATAATCACTTTAAATGTAGATCTCAAGAAAATCATCTCCCATAATAGGTTCAGAACACCCTTCTTGGCAATATGTTCATTATTCATTCTAAAAAACATTTTCAATATTGGTATGAACTAAAATACTTCTATGCAAATATAAATTACAAAACTAATAAGAAAAAACAATTGGTGTACACAAAACTAATAAGTGCCCCAATTTCAGAATTCAATTAAAATCTTCAATTGTATAATCAATAAATCATTCTCTAAGATTTAATTCCATATATAATCTTCTTCAGTATTTTGTGCGATTTGAATTTCACACCTTGATAGTGGCCCGTAGCGGTCGCGGAGGGCACCGTGATCGCTATATAGCGGCCTTGATAGCCATAGCAACAGGCTATTTGAAACCCTGAGTAAAACTCTAAAAAACTAACTGGAAGCAGAGCCCAGAGAGGAAGGACGGCCGACGCAGCAGCCCCCGGCCTGGATGGCTGGACGCGCGTCGTAGACGGCGGAACACGGTGCGGCTGATGGCTTGGTGTTTGCTTTCTTCTTCGAAGGCTCTGATGGCTCGCGTTCTGCCGGTTCGCTAGGAGCCTAGGAGCGCTGGTACGTTGTATATTCTGGCCTTGGGCTGTGGGCTGGGATGGGATTTAATTTTGAGGCGGGTGAGAATAAATTTTGGGGTGAGTGATTATAAAACAAATTGGTTGGGCTGGAGTCCACCGCTCCCAATCTGCCATCATAGTCATCTTCCCATGATTGTTTAAAAAAATGTGAGTAATGACTATAATAGGAATGAAATAGTAATCACTACAAGAAAAGTGCACATAGACTGCACATGTACTACAATTTTTTTTGCGATGGCAGTATAAATGTCATTAAAAACACCATTAACCACACATTTTTTTTATTTACCACACAAAAATGTGGTAAAAGCTTAGAGACGACAGTTTTTAACCGTGGTCAATGTTTTTACCACAGCTGTTGTGCCGACGCACGTAAAACTGTTGCAAAACTGTCGTGAAAACATAAGGAGGAGCATTCACGACAGTTTTGCGTCAATTTTACGTGCGTCGCCACAACAGCCGTGGTAAAAACATTGGCCATGGTTAAAAACTGTCGTCTCTGACCTTTTACCACAGTTTTGTATGTGGTAAATAAAAAAAATGTGTGGTTAATGGTGTTTTTAACGACAGTTATGCGGCCATCGCAAAAAAAAAATTGGTTTATGTGCAGTCTATGTGCACTTTTCTTGTAGTGAGTAACTCAGGTTCAAGTTTTAAACCTAAGTTACCATGACACTAGATTGTAGTAATTATTAGTCATATGTGTAAATAAATCTTAGTATAGTACTCCGTAATATTTTTACAAACTCATTGGTAATTAACCTCAAAACATTGATGCTAAATAAGTGGGTATAGATAATTAAGGAAGATTTTATGGTACCCTCAAGGTACACACTCTTGTCCACATGGTCCAATCAGAATGTTGTAATTGAATTATTTAAATATAAATTAAAAATGACTTATTAATTTGGGAAAAAATTGCACGCGTATCACTAATTGACTTCTGATTTCTAAATTTATGACTTTTCTCAATTTTCCCAAAAAACTGACCCGATGCTTGCCTCTTTCTTCATTCGACGCTGTCTTCCTTCTCTCTTCGTTCGACGTTTTAAGGCACAGCCAGAGCTGCCATGGATGCAAGACGCGAAGCTCCAACGCCCTTCGCCCCCAATCTCAGCAGCTCTTCACCTCACAGATGAAATCCATGTTGCGGCGAACTCCAGTGATTGAGTGATGGCGGTGAGACTCCATTAACGGCGACTCCAACCTCAACAAAAACAACGAAATCGAATTAGTATGATATTAGATCCAGTTATTCTTCTCCTTCCTATGGTGTTTCTACGTCCTCTCTTGTTCAGATTTAGTGTGGTGACTATGTTTTAGATTTGCAATGAAGCTAGAACTGTAGATCTATAGTGGTGGCCGGTTGGGACGGAGGCGGTGCTAACACACCAATAACTACGACGTGGTTGCCTGGTGCCAGAGGGGTTGGGGCGTGGTGATGCTAGAGGGACTGGGGCGTGGTGGTGCTGGACTGGTAGGGGGTTGGGTGTCGCAGGGGAGGGGGTTGGGTGAGGCAGCGGCTGGGTGATGAAAGGAGGGGGGCTGGGGTGACGCAGGGAAGGGGCTGTGGTGACGCGGGGCAGTGGCTGAGGGCTGGTGAGCATTTGCTGACCGGAGCAGTGGTGGTCGGTTGCAGTGGCCGGTGGTGGCACTCGTGGTGGTGTACAGTCGCGGAGGCGACGACAGTCATTAACAAGGGCCAGCGGCAGTCACTGACGATGTGGCGGCGACAATCACTAACGTTGGGGCGGCGACAGTCAGATCACTAACGAGGGAGCCGCGACAGTCACTCACGAGGGGCGGCTGCAGTGGTCTGGTGGGGCAGTCACTTTGGCTGGTGCGGCAATCACTGCGGCGGCGGAGTCACTTTGCGGCGGAGGAGTCACTATGACTGGAGTCATTGTGACCGGAGTCGCTGTGGCCGGAGTCACTGTGGCGGGGGGCAGTCACTGTGGCGGCAGGGCCCGGCGGGGCAGTCACTGTGTTCGGTGGGGTCACTTTGGCCGGAGTCACTTTGTCCGGAGTCACTTTACAGTTTACACTGCAGGGTTAATTGTGATGTTGGTCACATTTTTAGAATTTTAAAAAATAGATCACTTTTTTATCTTTTATCCTATTTTTAGTAATATTGGAATAAAAAGGCCTTAATTTGGACTAATTTAGTGAGAAAGTACTCCATTTTTAAATAGGTACCATAGTTGTCACCAAATAATAATCGTAAGTTCTATGTTAAGAATGGAAAACATTACTCCTATTTTGACACTTTTAGAGTGTTTTATTCTTATGTAGGGGATATGGGTTTTTTAACATGGTGGAAAATATGTTTCAACATTTAGAACTAAGAATCTATGGAGGAAGAAGCTCTCTCTAGGGTTATCGGCCGATAACCCTACGACTAGGACTGTCCGCCTTCATTTTTCGGAGTGCGAGCGTTATTGGTTAGGAAGGCGGTGAGGAGGCGGCATAGACGGTTGGTTAGGAGAACGGTGGTCTCAAATTGGTAGCAGGGGCGGTGAAGTTGGTTATTTAACCAGGTCATTCGGACGAAAGCAGGTGGTGTGGCTGGTTCATCGGACTCAGAGTTCCGGCGAAGTCTTCCATATCTTCATGGAGAACGTTGTTGATCGATATAAGTAGATGGCGATTGGAGGTGAAGAGGAAGAGATAAATCTTGACGATGGAGAGACTGAAGACGTTCCAACGGAGGAAGCGGCGGTGGGCTTCCCGTGCTCGGGCAAGTGCTGACTGACCGCAAGGTCAGGTTCGCGGAGCTTAAAGAACAGATGCTTACTCTCTGGAGGCCGGGGAAAGGTATGTCGGTTAAGGAAATCGGGGAAAAGAGGTACCTGTTTTCTTTTAATCATCGTTTTGATATGAAACGTGTTCTGGATGGGGGTCCTTGGCAGTATGAACGTAGTTTGGTTTTTCTCAAAGAGATTATGCCTCATGATATACCACACCAAATCATTTTGAATGAGGCTGAATTTTGGATCCAGATTCATAATGTTCCTTACAGTCTGGTAAATCTAGGCACTGCTAGACGTATTGGGAATTTTTTAGGAGAGTTTGTAAAATATGATGATTATAAAAAAGAAAAAAGAAAAATTAGCACAATTAATGTCTAGCACTTCTAGACGTGTTGGGAATTTTTTAGGAGAGTTTTTTTCAGGCACAATTATCACAAACGTGCTGCACTTCGTTTTAGCTCAGAAAACTCTCCCCAGCCTTCTCTTAAAAATTCCTTCTGTATTCTTGCTTTGTTCACGTTCGTTGGAACTTTCGTTTGAGTGTTCAAACGCTTGTTCGTAGTCATCGTATCCTGGGAACGATTCTTGCAACGCTCCTAGCACCCCGGGAGGCAACAAATACGTTTTAAGGAAATCGTGCGTAACACGAGCTTTGGCTTATTCTGCTTCATCTCATTTCTTTGTTTCTTTAAGTCATTTTATTTAATTAATTTTTATTAGTTAATTTTCTTTGTTTTTCGAAACACACCCAACAGTTTCCACAAGAGCTTTTCATGCATGTGTACTCAACCCTTATACTGTTATACATATATGTATTTGCAATTGATTTTATTCTATGATGCCCGAGCGAATGCAGTGATGTCCATTGATAAACAAGAGGGCATTGTGAGGCAGGGAATGCGGAACGGAGCTATTTCGTTCATCGAAAAACCTGTGTCGGAGAATGCCCTGAAATGTTTATGGCAATTTCTTATAGCTCAAAAGAAGGGTTATGTTAGGTGTAGTGCTATGGAGCTGCATGTAGAAATGACTCCTACTCCATCTGCCGCTGCCACTTGCACCACAAATTTTGCAGCTTATCAGAAATCCGTGGAGCAGATGACCACCACGACAGAACCTTTTTTTGAAACCAAGATGGGGAAGAAGAAGCTGGTGTGGACGGATCTTCTTCATTTCAAGTTCTTGGATGCCATCGCCTCTGTAGGAGTTGAGAGTAAGTCATTTGACCAAAACATTGACAAAGTTTTAACAAGTATGTTCAATTCATAAAATAAGACTTATTTAATCCTATTAAAAGAATGAAAGAATAAAATATTGCTAAATAGAAGTTTATATTTTGTTAAGAAGACAATGTAACTCGTACTTGAGAATTTTTTTTATTTTAATTATTCGAAAAAATCCATTTAATATTACTCTTGAAAATGTGGAGGACAAAAATATTATTCAGTAACTATATATTAATGACTATAATTGTGCTAAAATTTACATCATAGTAATTACATAAGTTACAATGATGTAAATTTCAACACTGCACAATTATGGTCACTAATTGTCATCAAGTAATACTTTTGTTCATGACTTTCTTATGAGTAATATTTTTGTTCATGACATTTTTTAATGTTCTATAACTTGGCTATATATTTTTATTTGCACATAAAATAATAAAATAACTAGTATAATAGTAAGAGTTAATTACTTAAGTAGGAGTATATAATAGTCACAAAAATAGGTGTGTTTTTTGGGTAATAGTCTTACTATTGTGAACATCTCAATTGTGACTTATGAGTAAATACTATTTCTCTTTGCGTTGAGTAAAGAGATAACATTATTCACAAAAAAATTCATTAGAAAGTTGCCGAAGTTTAAAAAACAGACTAAATAAAAAGTTGGCAAAATATATTGGGATGAAGTGCTAAATTTTTGCCAATTTTTAATTTTTTGTACGTTATGAAAGTATTATTAATAAAGAACATGTTCATTTAATTTAATTATCATGTTAAAGTAATTGTGTATTTGAAAAATATGAGTGGTTAAACTTGATCATAATTGACAAAAATAAGCTAACAGGAAGAAGTGTTATGAAATGGAGATAGTATAATATTGGCAAGTCTGTACAAATTATTTATTTCTTTTAGTCTAACTAATGTACATAAAACAATATTTTCTTACGCTTTTGTGCAGATGCGGTACCCAATAATATTTTGAAGGCCATGAATGAGCCGGGATTAACTAGGGAGAATGTTGCAAGTCATTTGCAGGTTGATTTCCAATTACTTATGATTATTAACCAGGCTGTTCATGAGCAATAATACTTCGTAATGTTTTACTTTGTATTGAGTCTTGGCTTAATGAGTTTCTTAATGCTTATTAAAGTTTTAAACATATGAGGTACGAAATACTAAATTTTTATAGAAGAAATACGTTTATATGCATATTTATAAAACTTCGTATATTCAAATAGAAGTAAATGTGAATATCATGATGTCGAGTATTTAGCTTGAACTCTAATTTGTTAGACGGTTAGCTAAGATACTTTCTTTTGATTGTTTAGTCTCACACTAGATTCGGACCAGACCAAACTTAGACAGCTATAAATGCACAAAGATAAAACATTTAACATACCAGAAAATTTCAGTCCAAAATTAAAGAAAACATCCTTAGTAATTTATGTGATAAATTAATCTAGTTATAAGTTAACGATATAATTTATTTATATATGAAGGACATTTAAATTTTGTAACTTTTTTATCACGTACAGAATACAGATTGAAAGAACAACTATAACTTGATTGACATAAAACAACATAATTGATGGGAAAAATAGCCACAAACGGAACTAATAAAGGAATTAATCTCCGTTTGGCTAAACTTTCCCCAACTTGAATGAACCTTTGAGGATGCAAACAAATAGGGTGTTCTTAATACAATTAGAACACACAATATTGCTGCCACACACCAATATAATGAGCTAAAACAGTAAGCACACACCACACAAAAACACCGGAATTTTAGCGTGGAAAACCCGTTAACTAGGGAAAAACCACGGGACCATTTTGGCCGCTTAAATCCACTATCATCATCAAAGGAGCAGTACAAAGTCTTCTCTAGATAATACTAGAGGCATACAAAGTCATCATATCCTTGGAAGTAAGCACATCAAGGTGTATGGAATCAAAATAGAGCCAAGATAAGAAATATATCACCAGAAAAATAGCTACTGTCCAGAGCAACGAAACCCGACCTCCGGACCTCAAAACCCGATCTCCACCGTCCAGAATGTTGGCTCAGATTCTGTGAAGCTGCTGTCCAAAAATCACGACGATCCAACGGTTCAATCTCCGGGAAACGGAAGTTTTCTGCTGCTGCCTGCTGGAAAAAACGGGATGAGCACACTCAGCTCATGTTTACGACTTATGGTCTCTTTTCTGCTGCTCTCTTTCTGTCCTCATGTGTTGAGATAGTAGCTAACCCATATTTTATTATTAGCTCCCAAAAAAGAAAGTCAAAGAAGACTTTTAATGGGCTCAAAACTTGGGCTTTCCTCATGGGTCAAAAACAAAGAAAAACCCAACAAATCTCCCCCTTTTTGACTTCTGAGGAAGAGTTCGCCATACCGGCGATGGAGCAACATACCTTCAACTTTTCCCTTGCTAGAACCTTCGTCAACATATCGGCACCATTATCATCGGTATGAACTTTATCAAGTTCAAACAGTTTGTCTTCAAGTGCATCTCTAATCCAATGATACCTCACATCAATATGTTTGGTTCGTTTGTGAAACATAGAATTTTTAGCAAGGTGAATGGTACTTTGATTATCACAAAGAACCACATAACGTTGTTGCATAAAGCCAATCTCTTGCATAAATCTTTTGAGCCACAATAGCTCCTTGCATGCTTCTGTTGCAGCCACATACTCAGCCTCGGTGGTGGATAAAACCACACACTTTTGCAGTCTCGATTGTCATGACACAGCTCCACCTGCAAAAGTCATCAAATATCCAGAAGTGGATTTCATGTTGTCCTTATTTCCTGCCATATCAGAATCAGTATAACCAACAAGTATTGGCTTCCCATTTCCAAATGTTATACCCAATTTGGAAGTACCACGTAGATATCTGAGAATCCACTTCACTGCTTCCCAATGCTTCTTACCTGGATTTGACAGAAAACGACTAACAACACCTACTGCATGGGCAATATCAGGTCGTGTGCACACCATAGCATACATCAAGCTCCCTACAGCTGAGGCATAAGGAACTTTATCCATCTCTTCAATCTTTTTCTCAGAAGATGGACAATCTTTATCTGTCAACCTGAAGTTGGTAGTAAGAGGTGAACTAACCTCTTTAGCTTTGTCCATGTTGAATCTGCGAAGCACCTTCTCAATGTATTGCTCCTGTGACATGTGTAGCTTCTTCAAAGCTCTATCTCGAGTGATCCGAATGCCAAGAATCTGTTTTGCTGGCCCCAAGTCTTTCATAGCAAAAGACTTGCTCAATTGCATCTTCAGCTGAGTAATTCTTTCTGCATTCTTGCCAACAATTAACATGTCATCAACATATAACAATAAAATGATGAAATCATCATCACCAAACCTCTAGAAGAAAACACAATGGTCTGAAGTAGTCTTTCGGTAATTTTGCTCCCCCATAACTGACTCAAACTTCTTGTACCACTGTCTTGGTGCTTGCTTCAACCCATAAAGACTCTTTTGAAGTCTACACACATAACCTTCTTTTCCCTTAACCTGAAACCCTTCAGGTTGCTCCATGTAGATTTCTTTATCCAAGTCACCATGAAGAAAAGCTGTTTTGACATCCATCTGTTCAACCTCGAGATCAAGGCTGGCTGCCAAACCCAGAACAACACGAATAGATCCCATCTTCACGACCGGAGAGAAAATCTCATCAAAATCAATACCCTTTCTCTGACTGAACCCTTTGACCACCAATCTAGCCTTGTACCTAGGCTGTGAGGTGTGCTCTTCAGTCTTCACTTTGTAGACCCACTTGTTCTTCAAAGCTCTCTTACCTTTAGGCAACTTCACCAACTCAAATGTATTATTCTCATGTAAGGAATTCATCTCATCTTGCATGGCTTCAACCCACTCCCTTTTGTGCTCATCTTCCATGGCCTCTGCATAACACTCAGGCTCTCCCCCATCAGTGAGTAAGACATACTCATTAGCTGAAAAACGGGTGGAAGGATGACGATCTCTTGTAGACCGCCTAAGTGGGACAAATGGTGGCACGTCTGGTACTGGTATCTCTGAATGAAATTCTTCATCCACCTCTGGCTGTTCTGGAGCATCAGTATCATGTTGTTCATCATTCTGAACATCATTATCAAGAGGTGGTTCTACATGCTGAGGAGGAACTGGATCCAAATCAGTAACATCATCATTATGTTGAGGAACTGTATCTTTCTTCTCAGCATCTTTCAAGGTCTGATCTTCCACAAACACAACATCTCGACTTCGAATAAGTTTCTTATGGACTGGATCATATAATCTGTAACCAAACTCATCTTGGCCATAACCCAAGAAAACACATGGTTTGGACTTCACATCAAGCTTTGCTCTTTCATCTTTAGGAATGTGCACAAAAGCTTTGCTTCCAAAAACCCTCAAATGGCGATAAGAAACATCTTTGCCACTCCAAACCCTGTCAGGTACATCAAAAGACAAAGGAACACAAGGAGTTAGATTAATAACATGTACCGCTGTATTCAAAGCTTCTCCCCAGAATGTATTTGGCAGCCCTGCATGTGACAACAAACATCTGACACGCTCCATCAAAGTTCTGTTCATCCGCTCTGCTAATCCGTTCAGCTGCGGTGTCTTGGGAGGACTCTTTTGATGTCGAATACCATGGTCTCTACAATAAGCATCAAAGGGGCCAATGTATTCCCCTCCATTATCTGTCCGAATACACTTGAGCTTCTTTCCAGTCTGTCTCTCAACCGAGGCATGAAACTGCTTAAACACCTCAAATACTTGATCTTTAGATTTCAAGGTATAAACCCATACCTTTCTGGAGTGATCATCAATGAATGTGGCAAAGTAGGAGCAAACACCAAGTGTCCTAGTTTTCATAGGACCACAAACATCAGAATGCACCAAATCAAGTATACTCTCCTTCCTGGAAGGAGGATGGCTCTTAAAGGAAACCCTGTTCTGTTTACCTGCCAAACAGTGAGAACACTTCTTTAGATGAATATCATGCACACCCGGTAACACATTTCTCTTCAACAAAAGAGACATCCCCTTTTCACTCATGTGACCAAGTCTCTTATGCCATAAATCAGTCATGTCAGTGTTCACCACAGCATTGACCCTATCCTTGAAGATCTTCGGATGTGTCATGTACAACTTTGAGCATCTTTTACCTCTAGCCACGATCAAAGAACCACGAGTGAGTTTCCATATTCCATTACCAAAGTTGTTGCTGTAACCATCATCATCAAGTAAGCCTGCGGAGATCAAATTAAGTCTCATATCTGGAACATGTTTTACATTATGTAAAACCAACTCTATCCCAGTGTCAAACTTCAAACAAATATCTCCGATGCCTGCAATCTTTGATAGTCCATTATTACCCATCCTAACATTACCAAAGTTACCTGGAGTGTAAGATGAATAAAAATCCCTCTGTGATGTTACATGACACGTAGCACCACTATCAACAACCCAACTGGAATCATCATGTGCAATGTTGACCATATCAAGATCAGAACAAATCAGGAACTCATCGGTAGCACTGTTAACTTCAGCATTGCCATTACCACCCTCATCTTTCTTATGGTTCTTTTGATTGTTGTAATCGCTCTTCTTCTTCTTCTCCTTTTTCAATTGCCTGCAGAATCGTATTGTGTGCCCTTTTCTACCACAATGATAGCACTCAAAATCAGCAAACTTTCCTTTGGATTTACTTCGATGCTTCCCTTTGTTACCTGGACCTCTACTCTGACTTCTCCCCCTGCTTTCTGTAACTAAGACATCAGAATGTGAAGAGGAACCTTGTGACTTTCTTCTCATCTCTTCATTTAAAACACTGCCTTTAGCTAATTCCATGGTGATAATACCATCTGGTGCAGAGTTGGACAATGATGTCCTAAAAGTCTCCCATGAGTCCGGTAAAGTGCCAAGGAGCCACAAGCCTTGTATCTCATCTTCAAACTTGATACCCATTCCTGCAAGTTGATTTATGATTCTCTGAAAAGAATTCAAATGATCAGTGACAGGAGTTCCATCATGG